ATTTTTCCTTCTCTCTCCTATTTATGTTATTAGCCATTTGACCTAATTGGGCCTCTAGCTTAGCAATGGAGTGAGTATGGGAGTGAACTACCGGTGCTAACCCCTTAAGTTCTGAGAGAACTTCCAGCACCTGTGTCTCAAATGCAGAGTTGCCTTAAGGAGCAGGCGGGGATTGTGGGGGTCGATAAAGTTGTGGTGGTCGGTAAGAAGATTGGTTGGCAAAATTATTAAAATTTTGCCTTGGTGGTGGAGGATTGTAAGAAATGCCTTGTGAAAGAGGTCTTCATGAAAAATTAGGGTGATTTCTCCATCTCGAATTATATGTATTAGAAAATAGGTCGTTACCCAGGTTGGAGAATCCTTGAGCCGCGTTCACATGCTCTTGGACTAATTCTGGAAATTATGATGCCGAAGGGCACTTACTTAAGTCATGAGCTGGACTCGCACAAATAACGCATGCCTCGTGAAATTAAGGCTGATCTTACTGTGTAGAGGCATGTCTTAAAGCTAATAGTTGGTCTATCTTGTGGGACAATGTCTCTGTCTGTTGGGCTAACTCTAGGTTTTGCCCTACCTCATAAATACCCTCTTTTTTCGGGGCTCCAATTACTGGTTGCTGGACTTGCCGGGCTGCGGAGACATAGTGAAGGGAATTATCGCTTAGGTTTTCAAATAATTGCCATGCCTCGGCGTCATTTTTGGACATGAATGTCTCACCACAAGAAGAATCCATTCATTTGGCGGTGAGGCTCAGTTAAGCCATAGTAAAAGGTTTGAACAAGTTGCCAATCAAGCACTTGGTGGTAGGGACACTGTTGGAGAAGGTCACAAAGTCTTTCCCATGTCTCATGTAATTGCTCGCCATCAATTTGAGCAAAATTGGTGATGGCTCACCTGAGTTGGTTGGTCTTACCAATGAGAAAGTACTTCTCCAAAAACTTTTGCTGTAATTGGTCCCCAAGTTGTGATAGAATTAGCAGGTAAGGAGTTCAACCAGTGTTTGACTTTGTCCTTTAATGAAAATGGAAACAAATGCAATATTAGGGCCTCATTGGTGAAGTTTTGGATCCTCACTGTAGAGCAAATTTCTAGAAATTCATGCAGATGTTTATAAGGGTCATCAGGAGCAAGTCCATGGAATGATGGGAGCATTTGTATGGTGCTAGTTTTAATCTCATAATGAGCAGCCGTAGTGTCGGGTAACTGGATGCATGATAGTGATGTATATGCAGTGGGTGTGAAGTAATCTTTAAGGGTGCGGTTGGGCCCATTTGGGTTCACCATCTCAATTGGTTCGAGGTATGGGTATGGATATTCAAGCCTAAGAACATGGGAAGAGGCTCTAAGTTTCCTAAGAGTCCTTTCTAGTTCAAGATCCAAATTCCACAATTTAGGGCGACAAGAACGGCGCCCGTGCATACACTACTCACACATACACACACACACACACACTAAGTTCTGACTCTGTGCACTAAGTTATGAAAACAGAATACCAAAGGAGAAAATACTCATAGCGGTTAAACGAAAACACTTTACTTGTCTTGCGGGTGCTTGACGTATAGACGTTGTCTCCAACCTCCAATTGAGCTTTGTCTTTCTTTTTAGCACTTCGGTGCTTTGCTTGCGAGTATTTATTTTTTTAGCACTTTAGTGCTATGGTTTGTTTTTAAAGCTCGGTTGCGCTCTGCTTACACTTCGGCGATAGCTCCACTTTCAAAAACTTTGCACACTTAGCAACACTAAAAAAAATTGTAAAATCCTAAACTAAAAATTAAAATCAGAATGTAATTTTAAATTATTTAATTTCGCCAGAAGTCCCTGGCAACGGCACCAAAATTTGATAGGTCTTTTCACACACCAAAATTAAACATTAAACTATACCAAATTTTTTAGAATAATGGCAAGTCCAGGTATCGATCCACAAGGACAAACGAAAAATTAAACTAATTTAATTGTTAAATTCCTAAATTAATTTTGATAAAAGATTGATTGTTCAAAACCTAATAATAATTAAATTAAACAAGCAAATAAACTAGCAATTATAAATAAAAATGAATTTACTGATTTGGGAAAAAACCTAAGGCAATGAGTTCACTACGAGTTATGTAAATAAAGTTTCAATTTGAAATCAATTATGCTATAGTTTGAATGGAATAATACTTCACAACTACAAGTTCGAAGTATTTATCAAGAAAATCATCACGTTCAATGTACGGGCACGAACCATCTCAAGTAGTACGAATCGTTCGCTCTAAACTAGGGTAGCAAAACGACTCATCCCTCGTAGTATGGCTCGTCTCATACTTTGAATATGAAAGAAAAGAAAACCATTGTATGGAAAGCATTCAACAATCACAGATAGCCGAATATTTGAAAAAATAGTGAAATATATATATACAACCTGATTGACATTAAACTGGCATAAAATACATAGTTTGACAAGCAAGTAGAGTTAAGAGATCCTAATTAACGGTCTCAGTGTTGCATAATTCGGCTTTAATCACATCCCCTAACTTACAACTTGTTAGTCCTCAAGCAAGGAATAAAGAAAGAAAAATAAATTTAAACAAAATCTAACTATCTCCTTTTTCGTGGGAAGAACGGTTGCATTTAGCGTATGCAATAAGCCTTTAAATCACAAAGTTACCCCAAGTGGACGAATAAAGTCTCGAAAAAATAGTGAAATACATATATATATATATATATGAAACTTCTAAAACATCATACAATTGTTCAAACTTTTACATAATCAAAAACCAAAAAGAAAACCTAATTACATAGCTAGTGTTTCATCAAAACCTAGAAAAGAAGAGCCTAGCCACTCATGGAGGAGTGGGAAGAGGTGAAGGAAGTTGACGAGGAAGAAGCCCCATGAAAGTTACCTTTGAAGTTTTAGGAAAATCACCTTTTCAAAACCCTAGCCTCCCTTTCCTTAGAAAATTTTTTGAACCCTATTCTAGTCTATTCTCTCATTTTTATCCTTTGTTGTCTTTCAAACAGGTTCAAAATAGCGGTATGAAATTCGAGGTATGGCTGCACGTGCGGGAGTGGTCACTGCAAGTGCGGGAACATTAGGCCTTGTTTGGTTGCAAAGTAAAGGCCGCACGTGCGGGAATGGGCCTCCGCACGTGCGGGAGGAACTTTTCTCTCCAAAATTCTATATTTTTGCTCATTTTATGCTCCCATTATGTACAATCTGATTGACATTAAACTGGCATAAAATACATAGTTTGACAAGCAAGTAGAGTTAAGAGATCCTAATTAACGGTCTTAGTGTTGCATAATTTGGTCTCAATAACCCGCTCAACCCGCCCACCCTAACCTTATTTTTTTAGGACTTGGGAAGATTATTTTAGCCCATAGAGCCAAGTTGGGCCAACATTTTCGGCCCCATAGATTCATGAGCTAGGTTTGTGATTTATACTTTCAACCCAGCTCGGCCTGACCACCGTTATTAAATTAATTAATTATAATATATTAAAAAATATATTTTTTGTTAGGATCTAAATTTTATCTATGTTAATTTTATTAAAACTCATATTTGTGGTGATATTTGATTGAATTTATTTAAGATATCTTTCAATTAATACACAAAATCCTTTAATTTATAATATTATCAATATATTTATTTAAGAAATATAATGTGTGACTAAATTTAATTATGAAATATTTAATTTTTTTTAAACATATAGTCCAATGGATGGACTTGGGATTTCTAATTATATTTTGAGATGGCCTTAGACAAATGTAGATGCTCGATGTTAGCGCCGAACCAGACCGGGCTTGGACATACACAAAGTCCCTTATCATGTAGTGTTGGCCTGGCCCGACGAATGCCTACCCCTAGTTAATCCCTTCACTATTAATCGTGCAAATCAAACAAGCCCACAGGAAATTAGAAAATAAAGGGTAAATTACACTTTGCCCCATTTATATTTGATTATTTTATTACTTTAGCTCGTCAAGTTTGTTTTTTCGCTCATTGGCCATTCATATTTTAAATTTTCTTAATTTACTTCAAGAATTAACTTGTGTCAAAAATTATATAGAAGATGATACATTAATAGTCACGTGAAATAATTTATTTATTTATTTTTTATATATAATTCACACTTCTAATATAAACCTAAACTACAAATATAATAATATATTTTGTATGTTATACGATAGTTGATGTGACATTTTCTGTTTAATTTTAAACAAAATTTGCTTTAGGAGTAAATAGAAAAAACTTGAAATACGAAGGGTCAAAATGAAAAAAACCAAACTTGAAGGGTCAAAGTAAGAAAATGATTAAAATAAAATGGCAAAGTATAATTTAACCCTAAATAAATCAACAAGACTATAAACCCAAAATCTACCTAGAAATAGAAATTATTATTATAAATCCTTTATTTTGGACTATTTTGGGATGTGAGTTAAAACTAAAAGTCATTTTTCAGCTTTTAACCCACTTCCCTCTCTCATAAAAAAGCTAAAAAAGTAAAAAAAAAGAGTAAATTTTAACCATCTTTTCAAAATAATTTTATTCATTTAATCTCCACCACACATGCTCATTATGGATAAATTATGGATTCCTAATTTTGAGATTCTAGCTCTTTTTTTTTTTTGGAAAATATATTTAGGAAAAAGCCTCCGACCCCCAGTGGGGGTACTGGGGGTCGTGTGTGATTGGTGTAAAAAAAAAAAATTGTTATATTTTATTTTTTATTTTTTGTTTTCAGCTAATGCGGAGGCGACACCTCACTGGGGGTTGTCAGTGGGGGTCGCCCCACTGTGGGTCGGTAGCACGGCTCATATATTTAATCGTGGAGGTGAGGCCCTTGATGGGCCAAAACTAAACTTGGACCGTGAAATTCAATAATGTGGACTAGAAAATTGGCATTGCGCCAGGCCGGCCCAAGCTGTCTAAACTGGATCTGATACAAAGCCCGGTCCAAATCAATTCATATTGGCCCCATGTCTATAAATAGATGAAACTCCCTCGAAATTTCAAACCTTCGGAGCTCGAACAAATTCACCGTGAATTCTCTTCTCACTCTGCATCAAAAATGGCGCTAATCCTCCTCTCTCTCTCTCTCTCTCTCTCTCTCTCTCGAAAGCCCTAATTCAATGCGATTATTATACTTGCAGGTCGAGAGAGAACTGCAAATCGATTGAAGATCTTCAATATCAGATCCATGGAGCAACGGTGCTTAAACTCGATCCGAAGATCGCATCTCATCAATTTACGATCTCTTCTCTCAAGTCCGAAATTGATACACTTACGATGACAATATTCAACAAATTAGGTATATTTCATCAATCTCATCTCTCTCTCTCTCCTCTCTCTCTATGTATTTTCTTACCATCTCATCAGTCAAATCTGAAATTGATACACTGGATTCCAAGTACTGTAACGAATTACGTACATTTCATCAATATCTTTTGGTTAGTGGTGACGATGGAACCATGTTGATTTTGTTAACATGAACTCATGTGAGGGCTTAAGGTGATAGAGAGAGGGGAAACTAGCATTTGTGTCCACAACATGTATAATGTTAGTATTGTATGCATATATCATAAAGTCAATCTCATCCCTCTATCTGCATACATGTATGCATAGTACATTGCAGACTAAAATAGACCTGCCAATGCCAATGGTACTCTGCTGTTGAATTTTGATGGACTCGCAAAGTAAAAGTGAAGTAATTTTAGAAATGCATTACACATATGTATATTTATGCTTGTGTATATGTAAATATGAAAATAATTAGATTGTTGGCTGGTTTTGTTGGTTTTATTTTATTTTTTTCACATCAGGAATTTAACACCCTTGCGGTACTCTCCAAGTGCCCACATTGGGAAAATGTTCCTGTATTGTGCATAATGGAGCATACAATTCTTCATGTAGACTCCAGTAATTTCCTGCGAGGGTAATTTTCATGGTTAGGAAGTTGTAATCTTTGAAGAACATAATTTTTTGAAAAAGCAAAACCATAAATAAGACCCAACATAGCCCATGATGTTTGTACTAGATTTGTTTTGTTTGCTTCCAGCCGTTGATATTTATTTTTCATGCGTAAAAATCATGGAAATGAGTAAAACATAAAACTTTGGAAAAAACAGAGTATTTGGAATAGTTCTATCATTTCTCACACAATTGTTGCGTAGAATTTTTCGTTTGCTTTTTCTAATATATATAGATATATTGTTGTGCCCAGTTTGGAATTGGAACTGGTCAACACAATTTAATTAGGTGTTAGAGCCAAGTATATAATTGAACACAGAACTTAGTTATGGAAGTTACCATAGAAGGGCATGATTCCAAGCTCTCTCCCCAACCTCCCTCTTCATTTTGTATTGAAAGCAAAAATTCAATGCCTCTGCGAACTGCTTGGCTGTTGTTATAAGTCTTTCCGGCTGAAACTAACCCTTCTAGCACAAAAAATGTGTCATAGATGAAGCAAATTCCCCAATAGCCATACCTGCTCATGTCATTGAACACACCAATTCCAATTGCCAAAGCTCTTCATTTTTTGAATTTTTTTTTAATGTATATATATATAAATTTAGAAGTGAAACCAACTCACCAAGAATCATTGGGCCATTGTCTCCGCTCAAGCAAACCTATTGCTTTTGCCACTGAAATTTCGATTTCTTTCTCCCGATGCGTTGGATGTAAACGTTTGAATGTCAATAGAGCATGGATTATGGATGCAGTGCATTCCACATGCCTAGATAACCAATTGACCAAGGTTAATAGTAGCTATCCATGGTGTGAAAAATATTTTAATGACAAGGGAATAAAATAAAAGGACAAGTTCTTACTCTGTCTCGACCATAATGTCAGCAAAAAGTTCTGAAGGATTCAACATCTGCATAAAGAGAAACGTTATAGTAAAAATCACTTTTTCATATTAAATGTTAAAAAGTAGGATTCCTGCAAACTATGAAGAGGACTGGTTTGGGTGTAAAATAATACAAATCACCAGAGTAGTATCCTAGTGGTTGGTGGCTTACTTCCATGTGGATTGGTGACCACAAGGAGATGGGTTCTTCTCTTTGGGGCAGCGTTCAGGGACATGGGCTACCGACTCCTTGTTATTATACCCTAGGTGACTGGGGTCAAACTATGGCTTAAACTAGTCTTGAGGGAGCATTTGTGAATTCTCTATGTATGATAGTCCGCGTTGTGAGTATTAGAATCCTATTCTAGTTGGATTTATCAATTCCTTAGACAAAACCTATTTAATTTATAATTGTTTTGTACTTAGTTTTAGACATCCAAGTGGATTCAAGTTAGGAAATTGAATTCGATTTCAAAGAAGCCAGATATATCAATGTACAGGTCTAGGCTGCTAAAGGTACAAGCGAGCTTAGCCAAGCTTAAAGACAGTCAACGCATCATTTCTCAATCAATTCTACGTATTGCCTTGCAATAGAAAAAGTACTTGAATTGTTTGGTTTTGATTTATGTCAAGTCTCAAAGTACGTGCACACAAAGAATTGGTTTCATCAAATTGGTTTATCTAGTGGGATGTTAGAGTTGATTATGCACTCTGTTGTGCGCTCGAGTGAGGAACCACCAAATGATTTATTTTGAGGCAGTTTCAAAGTCATAATTTAATTGGGATTAGTTCTCAAGTCACCTTATGGTATCAACACTATAAATAGGACCTTAGCAGGTGTACCAAAATAAGCATGAAGTACTTTTTGAATACATTGTTTTGAAGGTCATTCAATCTCCAAGTCTTCGAAATAATTATTCATATGTTGGTGGATTTCCATAGTTTAAATGGTAAGTGAAAATAATACAAGCTATTACAATCTATGATGAGTGTTTACCTGGAAAGCAGGTAGTGGAACTGGTGGCTCCCAAATAGCAAATCCACCACTTTCAGGACTCTACATGAAGAAAAAGGTGTAAAAAAAAAAAAAAATTGCTGTCAGAGTCATGTGCCTACCTCTATGCATTAGAGTTGTAAATGATCTTCGTTGTCAAAAATCAAATATAATATGTATGTTGTACCTGTAAGAATAGAAGGACATTCACTGCATCATATAAACTCTCAATGTCAGCTTTTTCCCCTGCAATTTCGGTAGGCATTTGCGAAAGTGTTAGTAGACACTGCAAAGAAATGGGAAAATTTGGTTATGACAACTTCAAAAAGAACAACCTAATGCATGAGATTCCCACCAAAGTGGGGTCTGGCAACCCCAAATTGCTAATTACCATTGAATTGTTATAGTTGTAACATAAAGCAAGATTACCTTCAGTGATTCAGCTGTGTAGTCCGAGACTACCCAACCTTGATCTTGATCAGAGAAAGTCCATGCGCCTTTAGTAAAGTAACGATACATGCTCTTGAAATCCCCAGTTGGATTTTTTTTGATCTTCAAATTTGAAGATCATACAATGTCAGTGAGTGAAATGAAATCGTTCCATACATTTTGCGTGTACACGCACACAAAAATCATGTTTTTTTCTTTTTGAGAAGAAACCTGTGATTCTTTTATGTAAACATGTGCCTTCTTAAGAGAATCCCCATATTCATCAGCCATATTACTTGCTATAATTGCTTGAGTGGCAAGAGTAGTGTCCCATAGTTGGCTGCCAAAACTCTGCAATTCAACAAAAATAGTTAACAAAAATATATTGTTCTAAAATTATAAAAGGCGATTTGGCGTAACTATAAGGTTTGTCATTTGTGTTTCTAGTGGCGCAAGTTTGACTCGCAAAAACCTCTCAAAAAATAAGGATGAGGTTGCTTATGTCTTATGCTTCCCAGAACCCATTTTAGTAGGAAACTATTATCGTAAGTTGTAGGTTTTTATGATGTAAACCTGCATTTTCATTCCATCTTCAGCAAGCCACAAATAATCAGGAACTCGGGCAAGATGATGCTTGAACTCATCGCCATCAGAGTTCTCCGCCCACCAACACATCATTTGCAAACTCTGTAACAAGAACTTATTAGACTTGTTTCACACTTTCAATCTGAAGAGTTTTGAAACCGATGACGCATTTGATTTTGTTTGTGTTCCTCGCCTTTTCGACACATCCTATGGTAATGTATCTGTTACTCTGCTCCATAACGCATGTACTTGACTGTTTTCCGAATGGCTCTCTCTCTTATCTTGTTGAGGGGCCAACAGTTCATGATCGGCTCACTCAGATAATGAAGACTATCCCAAAGGAGATCTTGTATGAAGGTATGATGATAGTAGAGATCCTCCTGCATTTTATAATTTAGTATATATAGGCTTCATTAGGATTGAACATGTTCAAAAATTCAGTTCCATATCATAATTGCAATAATAGTAGATTTCCCTAACCTTGCAGCAGTCATGGCGTGCTTTATTCCAATTTATCTCCTCATATAGCTTTGGGTGAATTTCTCGTCTTAATGACTTGACAAGATTGGTGATCAGCCCATGATATTTCCTCCCATACAGGTATGACATGGGCATGTAAGTCATGCAATAGTAGCACAACATTTTTGCTTAATTTTGTAGAAGGATAGAGTTAGGCTTAGACCGAACAAGAAGATAAAAATTTATTCATTGGATGCCTAGCACGAAATTCAGTCATTTAAACTACCTAATCTTAATTAGTAACCTATCAGATTATGTAACATGGAAACTTTGTAACTAGTTTAGTGATCATCAGTAAAACAATTACAGTTGTCCAGACGAGAGCTAGACTTAGATTGTGTAAAAATGTTAGGTTTGATGCTTTTAATAGGTCATTAAATTGAGAGTTTCAAGTACAAGAATGTAGAATGTTTTACATATTTTCTTCAGGTAAAGGATACTCCTATAACTTTTGTTTAAAACAACAAATACAAAATGAAAAAATATAGGAAATAAATTTCCCTTTTAGTCACCTGGGTGACAAGGCGAAAATGAAGGGAAAAGCCAGAATTCTGGGGGCAGTGGGTTGCATTAGGCCCATTCATACACTCCCAACACCTGTAGAAAATGGAGAAAAAAATAATGGAAAGCTAAACTTTTTTGCATCACCATGTGCAAATTAAAATTCACATTAGATTTTCAGGTTCAACATCTAAAAATAATGACTGATATCAGTTTAGTGATAGTGATATCCACGGTTATATATTACTGGATAAATGTCACTATTATTTTTTACTTCCTACATGCATCTTACACAATAAACGCCATGTGTATACATATAGCATGGTGTAGGTAAAAAACTGTGAAACCCATTTGGTGATATATAGAAATACTATGTGCGCAGAAAAAAAATATGTAGAGTTTGAATCTGTGTTTTAGATTTAAATTGGTACCCATAATAAATCTGATCCACACATTTAAGATTTGTGGACTTTTTTGTGTATTTTTTATGGTTATGTAACTTTGTTGGGTGATATATAACAATTTCTAAATATTATGAATCCTACATTTATATGGTATCTTATGGATCGACGTAGAAGGTGAAAAAAAATGATTATATGTATATCTGGTGACAAATGTTACTTTCCTTTTACTAATGAGATTGTGTTAATTTTACCGAGAGATGTCTTCCCCCAAGAGGGTATTCCAGTAGCACTGCCATTATCAAGTATCCATTGCCGAGCTTTTGTCATTGCCTCTTCTTCTCCATCATCAGGCCCTTCTCCAAGCAAACGCAGAGCACTGTAGTTAAGTGCCGAGCCAAGCATGGCGCTATGGCCCTCTATGTACAATCCCCACCCACCATCATCGTTCTGCATAATATAGACATTTGCCACATTTTGGATATATAGGTCATTAATGACTTTGATATTGAACATTAAGGTTGTGTTTGGATCTTGAGTAATACATACTTGATGAAGATAGATATAGTGAACCAATTCCTTTTTGTGTTCCCATGTTAGGATAGTATTAATTGCTCCACTTATGTGTAGGATAATGATTTGCACTAGTTATGTTGTGTTACCAACAGTTGGGTCAAAATTTGATTAGTAATTCTATAAGTACGTGTGAAACATTGTGTGTTTGGAATTTTTTTGTTGTGTTTACTGCAAAATGAAAATTGTTAATAGAAATCGAAAACCCAGCGAAATTGGACAAGACGCTTACTAGGGGTGGTGCAAAAAACATTGGGCCTGCATTTTCAGCAGCCCAGTGCTCATCACTTGCTTGGATGGCGCAATTTAATCGAATAGCTTTCCTCAAAGCAATTGTTGCTGCTTCATGGGTCACTTCTTTCTCCCCTAGTCTCACTGGTGGCATGCTTAGGTTAATATTGTTGTTTTCCTTTTTAAGCTGTGGATTGAAGATCAAAATACATGTAAAATCAGTGAACAATTCAAAAAGTTTGTCACATTCCAGTGCACCAGAGAGAAGCCCATCCATTTTTTGGAATTTTTTTTTTTGGGATCTTTAGAATTATTAAAAAATGAAAATGTTTTAGGCATGGTGCAGAGTGATTTGAGAGATCGGTGTGTTAATTTAACAAGCAAAAACCATTAAGATATTTGATGATACAGTTACGATACAACGGGTTCCAGAGGGAATGGGTTGGACTGGTCCACTGCTTCTCCAACCGATATCTGGATGGCCAAGCCCACCTGAGAACCTGCACAGGAGTTCAACGGGGAACGGGAAGTCCCCTAGCGAACCCTCCGACGAGCAAGTTAGAGAGAGAAGTGAAAATGTGGAGATATGAATTGGAGATAGAAAACTTAACCTTCTTCTTGTCTTCAACGTCTGCTTATATCCTTTGGTAATCATTTCGCCGTCCCTTCCGACCTGCCACCTTGGCCGAAAGTCAATGCTGTAGCTTACCTTGTTCAGGGTGAGGGGGTGCTGTTCCGACGGAGAGGTGTTGTCGTAATAAATGTTGTGATGGGCTGCATTAATGGCGATGTACAGTAACAATAACTTTGCAGATCTTTGTCTGCTGATGTGGTTTGTCCTTTGCCTGCCACATGTCTGAATATCATTGGTTCTTCGTGCCATGTTGGCTTCCAACTGTTCAGGATCTTGTCAGTTGGGTTATGTGTTGGGCTCTAAGTGATGGGCTTGGGTTGTTCATAGCGGGCTATGACCTTTGTGGGCCTAATCACGTCAGTAGTCTCCCATTCCCAAGTACAGCTTTAGCCCAACGATGGGAATACTAATGGAGAAGATGAGGAGGACCGACCGTGAAGGGTGGCCGAGTGGATGGGCCGACAATGAGGAGGGCCGACCGCGAAGGGTGGCCGAGTGGGAGGGCCGACAATGAGGAGGACCGACCGCGAAGGGCGGCCAAGTGGGAGGGCCGACAATGAGGAGGACCGACCGCGAAGGGTGGCTGAGTGGATGGGCCGACAATGAGGAGGACCGACCGCGAAGGGTGGCCGAGTGGGAGGGCCGAGCATGAGGAGGACTGACTGTGAAGGTTGAGGTGGGGGGGCGTGGGGCTCAAGAGGCGGCGTGACGCGTGATGACTTGAAGTGGAAAAGACAAGGTAAGGGGAGGTGGCAGTGAATCGTGATTGTACACGTGGCAGCATCTCGTGGGAAGGGGATTAGGCGTTGGGCCAGAAATGAAACGATAGGTCATGATGGGTGTTGAAAAGACAGTTTTGACGGATGTTTTGAAAAGTTTTCAAACTGGCGAAAATTAATTGTGACCCTTGGAATACGGGCAAGCCTTGGGCTTTTGGTATTATTCGAGTTACCTACTTCTTTGCAAAAAATCAAAACATTCCAAGTGTTAACTCCTTTGTTGCTGACGATACACCTCTGCAACATTTCTTGAATTTTCTTACACCCGCTTCCGAGGCTATTCGTAGGCACACCATAGAGATGGCTCAAGAAGAAGCGGGAGCTGCCAGGGTTGATCTGTTTGGGGATGACGACGCAGTGGAACTGGCGGAACAGTACCGGACGGAGAGACAATTGGAGAGGGTAGTGGAGCCGGTGGTACAATCCCATTCTTCCACCATGATAGCGGCTCCGAAGCCAATCAGCCAGGCGGAACCAGATCACTGGCATACGAAGGCTGACAAATCAACGGTTACTGCGGCGGACTTGGAGGTTATGCGCGAAAAATACTAGGTTCCCGCTGAAATAGAGTTACTGTTGCCGTCGTCAACGGAGAGGCCATCCGATGCCCGGCCGGGGGATTTTTCCCTGTATGAGGTAGCATTGAAAGGAGGACTGACGCTGCCGCTTCCGCAGGTGGTGGTTGATGTCCTAAACCGGTTGGAGGTAGTACCAGGGCAGCTAATGCCCAATGCGTGGAAGATTGTGTTACCCTGTGCAAGCGTGTGGCCGAAGGCGACTGAAGGGGGGCGATGATGGTGGACGAATTTTTTGTATGTTATAAGGCCTCAGGACAGCAAGAGACTTGGGTGACGTTGTAGGCGGCAGCAGGGAGGGGTTTGGTGACGGGGCTGCTGTCATCCATTGAGGGTTGGAGGCTGCGGTGGTTTTACGTGTCCGCGAATGGAGGGGTTGGGGTGCGTACGGTGTGGAGAGTGCCCACCAAATCTGTGGAGCCAAAACTAGGGGCGGCAGTAGAGGAGAGGATAAAAAAGGTGAAGGCATGGAGGGAGAAGGAGGGAGTCAGATGGGACAAGCTCGTTCAACCTTTAGCCTTGTTTGCAGCGGGATTGGGCCCTCAGCCGAGCGTTGGAGATCTGTGACGGGCTGAACTAGAGGCGAGGAGGAAAGCGCAAGAGGCTGAGGATATGGCCATTCTTGCCAAAACCAGTAAGTTCAAGGAGGCGTAGGAAGACCGACCGCATAAGCCGATCGTGCGGGAGAGGATCCGACGCCCAAAATCCCTGGAGGAAAAAGACTTGGGTGAATCTGAGCCACGACCGCCCCCGATTGATCTTTTGAAACAGAGGGCCAAGGAGATGGGCAGTGTGGGGAAGAAGAAAAGAAAGGTGAGGAGGAGTGAGGGGGAGCCTGCCTTGAAGAGGAGGAAGGAGATGACGGCAGAGGAGACCCCTATGTTCCACGAGGCAGATGAGGGAGTGGAGGGGGCCCCAAGAAGGGTGGTTGCCTCAGGAATGGTGGAGGTCGCTTCAGAGGTTGTGGAGGTTGTCCCAGTAGTGGTGGAGATCGCCCAAGAAGTTCAAGTAGAGGGTGGGGCAACTAGCCTTGGGCCAAGGGTAGAAGAACAACCCCAGAGGGGTCCTGCGCCCCAAGGAGGGGGGATCAGGCTGACGACTGCTATCTACCACGCCCGCACGGTGTCTGGGCGGCTGGAGGGAGAAGAAAGCCCAGCTAGGGCAGCTGTAGATCACCTTGTGGGGATAGTGGATGATGCAGCCGTCCGCTCGGTGGCTAGGTTCAATGAGGCTGAGCTGTTAAGGGGGTTATGCTCTGCCCAAATGGAGGTAACCACCTTAGCTGGGGCTCTGCTGAGAAAGGCGGCGGCTGCAAAGGTCAAGTCGGATGAGGCCAAGGCTTAACTTGCAAACTTCACAAGGGAGAGTGCAGGGTGGAAGAACGCTG